CTTCCTATCTCAAACTTCTTGTTATRTAAGAAAGCGAACATTTTCCTAATTGTTTAAAGAATTGTGAATAGTCTACTACCCAAAGCCAAAAAAATATCCTGACTGCTATAAAACCCCACGGAGAAAGCCAAGGGCCTTTTTTGTTATTTAGACTCTACAAAGAGAATCACAGGKCTCCCGTCCAAGTTGACCAGTTCTACATAGTAGCACACATGAACTCACACGGGCGACCTGAGACACATGGTCATAATCAAATTTAGGCCTAGACGTAAACATGCAGGGCAGCCTTTACTAGGTCAAGGATAAATGCCTTAGAAGTTGCCAAAACASACTCAAACTGGGCATGCTGTCCACTGCAGACACTTCCCCAGAGCGGCCTTTGAAAGAGAAGGCAAATTTTGGGCTCCATTTCCCTCACTAGTTTTCATCACTTAATTYGAAAACATGTGCTAAGAGTGGGGAGAACAGAAAATAAGGTAACATGCCTGAAGCTAGAAGAGGAAGGTATATTCCAATCAGAGCAGTGGTCATTCAGCATGATGGCTCCCGGAAAGGCCACAAAGGTGAAAGCTGGCACTCAGGGGACAGTGGAGCAGCTCAGGAGCAACTCTTCCCTGTGGCCCTGCCAGCTCCCCTCCACCTCCACTGGCACCTCCCAAAGCTATGTCTGATTAACATTCAATAACATTGTTTTATGTTGAAAATGTCTATTCCTACTAATCTTATGTAAAGTGTGAATAAATGGATCTTTAGGAAACAAACTAAACACACGATGTGTGCCTTGATGTCTTCCTTTCCCTGATGCTGTGGTTTGAATGCCACTTGTCCCCTCAAGACTCATGTTGAAATTCCATTGCCACTGTAGCAGTGTTGGGAGCAGGGGCCCTCAAGAGCAGGTGGGGTCATTCATGCCACTTGAGGACTGAGAATGGGTGAGTTTTTGCTCTCACTGGTCTGGATTAGTTACCATGACACAAGAGTTGGTTGTTAGGAAGCCAGGCTGCCCCTTCTATTGTCTCTTCCACTTGTCCCTTCAGGCCCTTCCAACTTCCACCAAGTTATCAAGAAGAATGAGGCCCTCACCAGATGTGGCCATCCAATCTTGGACTTCCAGCCTCCAGAACYGAGAGCCAAAATGAATTTCTTTTTGTTATAAAAGGTATTCCAACATAGCAACATTTAAGGACTAAGACACCTAACTAATGTCCCAATTTCTACTACATGGAATAATGAGCTGTTCTTTTCTCAATATATCTGAAAGCTTAGTTAGGCTACAGAGGAGTGGTGGAGGGAAAAGGATAGAAAGATAGGAACAGAGTAGAAAAAGGAGGAAGTAGSAAGACCTGGATCAATATGCTAGCTTTTGCTAGTCATGGACCCCACTACACCCCTTCGGCAGGATCCAAAACACACTGGGTACAGACCCCAGTCTGGGGTAAAGGAAAAGCCAGAGACTGACAGAAGGAGACAGAAACACATTACATAGGAAGTCAGAGGTAAAACACCTCACAATGGATCTAATATGAGCTAAGACTAGAGAAGCCCTGAAGAAGAAAAACGCTGGGCTAGGCCCCTCATACCAGGCTGACATTGAGCGGCCAGGTTGCTTCCATGGATGAATAACCTGGGTTTCAACTTTCTCATCTGTAATCTGAGCAGGTTGAACTACAAGAGCTCCGTGGGTCCTCCTTCCTTTGTCACACAGCTGGGTTAATAAGCACAGGRCAAACAGCATAAGGCAAGCTGACAGTTTGGTCTTTCCACAATCAACACTAAAGCACACCCCACAATGAGAGACTAAACAGGCTCAGGAAACTTTGAAGATGAGAAGCCTTCATCAGGAAATGGAAGACTAAACAGCAAAAATCACATGAAATATTACTTCAAATATAGATTTAAGGCCCTGAACTTCAGTGCCATGGGTGACATGAAAAAAACATCTGTGAATGAAGCCCCGGTACTCAGCTCCTGCTGCAGCTTCATCAAAGGGATGGCTATAAAATTGGGGCTATTGAGATACTATCTTTTATAGTCCTCAAACTTCTAAAATGGCTCTGAATTTAGAAATAGAAAGAAAAAAGGAACCCTCAAGTCACACAGAAATAACCATTGAGAACTAAGCAACAGATAAACTGGATGAGGAAAGCAAAGACTGGAAAACAGAACTGACACCACTGGACTCATGAGTTTCCTGAGGATACATGTATGAATGTGCTCTGCTGGGCCCACATGGAAAAGAGAGATAAGACAGGGACACAGAAATAAGAAAAATATAGGAAAATGGGCACAGACCAATAACAAAGTGCCACAGACCAACAACAGAGAATAGGCAGCAGGCCTTCATGGGACAGAGGGTGGAAAGGCCGAGGGGTCATCGCTACCTGAAGTCAACTGTTCATGCTTCTGAGGCTCCAAAACTTTCTTGGAGGCTCTGGTGCTTAGCCTTATGTCAAAATCTGATCTGAGAGGAGGTCACTATCACCCTGCCTTGAGCTGTACTCTTATGCCACCCTTTGTAGAAAAGGCTGATTCCAGATCTCAGGGAAACCACTTGCAGCTAGCCACATCTGTCACTCTACAACATGGCATTCTTAAGGGAGAGGATGGGCTATGTAATGTCCAAGTTCTCCTTTTAAACCTAAAAGTCTAAGATCTTGTATGTTGGAGACTGGATGGAAAAGAAAGTTGGTAAATCACCAAAACRCTGTTTGACAGTAGAGAATTTTCTTAGCAAATTCTACAGGAAGRTCGACAAGGTTCACCTTATCTTCATGTCCTCCTAATTTAATTGTGCTTTTTCAGAAACATCAATCATCATGGAAAAGTCAAGCTATATTTGTCATATTTGAATAAGATGTAGGTTTCTATGTGGTGAAAGGTTTTCATCTAAAGGAAATTTAATTTAAAAGCTTGAGTGGTTGGAAAGTTAAATTCAGCTCCTAAATACCTTGGCCATCTAGAACAAATCATTCTTTAAGAAATTCAGAGTCATGGTTTTACTGGCTCAATTGCTGTTACCAGCAAAAATTCGCTACGTTCTTATAAACACAGTGCTTCATAAGAGAAGCAAAACAATTAAACAAAATTCCACAGTCACCATCTTGGGAGGCCTGAGGCCTCACCATGAAACATTTCAAGATAGCATTTAGTAACATTCACGATGAGCTTCCCATATTACACATCAATCTACTGAACAGCATAGAAGGCTAGAGACAAAATGCATCCAGAAGCATGACATTTAAAACCCAAACTGGCCCCTGGAACAAAACCCATAAGAAAGACTGAAGTACTTTTAAAATATCAGATACAGGAGTGAGCATTTATAAATGGTTACAAGGAACATGGACAAAATATTCTAGGAACCTCTTTCAGGAATAAGAAAAAAAAGCAACTATAAGGAACAATTCAGAAGAAAGGTATGAATCAATTGGAAACACGACTAAAGAACAAACTTTTTTTTTTTTTTTTTTGGATTTGGGATTGAACCCTGGGTGCTCTACCACTGAGCCACATCTCCAGCCTTATTTTTCACTTTTTATTTTGAGACAGGGTCTCATTAAGTTGCTCAGGCCTTGTTAGTTGCTGAGGCTGGACTTGAATTTGTGATCCTTCTCCCTCAGCCTCCTAAGTTGCTGAGATTACAGGGATGTGCCACTGCACCCAGCAACAAATATTTTTTAAACAAAGTCTTTCCCTCATTCTCTCTATACTCATGATGAGCAGGAAATAAAATTCACCATTAATAATTATCTTTTTTTCTGGGGCTGAAGTCGTGGTTCAATGGTAGAGCGATTGCCTCACACATGTGAAGCACTGGGTTCAACCGTTAGCACCACATATAAATAAATAAATAAATAAATAAATAAATAAATAAATCATGTCCTCCTACAACTAAAAAAATTTTTTTTAAATTATTGTTTTTTCTATGATAAAAATCACACTTCAAATGCATAATCAGCAGAGTTGTGCTTAAGTAATACTCATTACAGCATTGACCCTGTCCTTAGCAAAAAAAGAGTAACTCAATAGGAACTCAGTATTGTATGACTCARCTGATAATAATAAAAATAATAACAAAAACAATAGCTGACATCTATCAAGGACTTATAATCTGTCAGTCACTGTTCAGTGTGCTATGGTTTAATGTGGTTTGTCTCTCAGGGGTTCATGTGCTGGAAGCCTGGTCCCAGTGTGGCAATGTTAAGAGGTGGTGGAACCTTTAAAAGGTGGGGCACAGTGGGAAGTCACTAGGGCACTGCCCTGAGAAAGAATTAATGTAGTTCTCTGGGGTCCTCGAGGTTAGTTCTCTTCAAAGGGTTATTATAAAAGACAAATCGGGCCCCTCCCCAGTCTCTCAAGCTACCTGTCTCACCATATGATCTCTCCCTCTAACAAGTACTCCCACTAGGATGCCATCTGCCATAATGTGAAGTCAAGGGGACCCTGATCAGAGAAAGCACCATGCTGTCTGGACCTTTGACTTCCAAAACTATGCTACATCAAGTCTGTAGCCTCAGATATTTTGTGGTAGCAATGGAAAACAAACTAATACATAGTGTTTAACATGTACTCATTTAGGCTGGGACTGTGCGTGGCTCAGCGGTAGCACACTTGCCTGTCATGTGTGAGGCACTGGGTTTGATTCTCAGCACCTCGTATAAATAAATAAAATAAAGATCTATCAACAACTAAGGAAAAAATTTAAAAATATATATATACTCATTTAGCTCACCCTCACAACAGTCTCTCCCTAGTATCCCCTTTATATAGAAGAGAAACTGAAGCACCCTTAGAGATGAGGGGGTTTCTTTAGGGCCACAGAGCTAGACAGTAGCAAAATGGGCAGTCTGCCTGTGCTCCTAACTACTATACAAAAACCAGATTACTTTTTACTCTGGCATCTAGTTTCATCTTTTAGATGATCCACATCTCAAAAGAACAAAAAAAGCTAGAAGGACCCAATGCACAGGTGAAATATGATAACATATGACATCACTTACCATTGGGGAAAGCTAATACGCTGATGATAAGAAAGAAGAAAACGACAGAGAGAATGCCTCTCCAGATGTTGTCCTCTGGAACAGAGTCATCCCTGAAAACAGAAAAACAACATTTTCAGATGTAAATAGTAAACCTAAAGGAGTATGCCTCCACATGGTGAACACTGCGAGACTACTTTGTTTTGCCCAGCAAAGTCATTGCAAACTCATATAACTATTCACTAGTATTCCCTAAAATCACAAATCTTATAATAAAGTCCAATTCTTACAAGAGAATTGGGATCTGTGGGGTGTAGCTCAGAGGTAGTGTCCATGCATGCACAAAGCCCTGGGGTTCAATCCCCAGCTCAAAAAAAAAAAAAAAAAAACCCAAAAGACAATTGGCAACCTTACAAAGCAACACAATTCTACTCAGACAAGCATTTAAACGACACTGTTACTAAAAATAATAATAATAATAATAAAATTCCAAAACCTAAAGTTTATTTTGGTTTTTGGCTTTAAGAGTAGCTAAAGATGATCCTCATGATATAGAATGTGGCAAAGACATTTTTCAGGAATCAGAAAGGAGGCAAAAGATCATAAGAAAGCAATGCAATAAAATGATATATCTATTCTTAAAAATAGATACCTGAGATGCATGAAGAAGAGGAGAAATGCTGGATAATAAGAAAATTTTAAAAAATAACTAAAGGAAAATCAAGAGAAAACAAAACATAAGATTTAAAATCAGATCAGAAGCAGAATTATAAAGAAAGGAGATGAGCATCCCTACTCCCATGCCYGGTCATCTCTAACATGTTCCTGTGTTCATTGCTCCCATAAGCCCACTGACTGGAATAATCCCATTTGAGTTTTTGTGTGACTTTTCTTTCCTTTGGAAGCAAACTTCTGAGGTGCAGGAAATTGTTCACCTGTATTCCAAGAGCCTGGCATATAGTAAGGTATATGGGGACTGATTATTGATTAGAGAGAATATTTATTGTGTAAAACAAAGTAAAATTTCCCAGAGTTTCTTTAATATTGACAATGGAGAATAATTAAGTTTTCACAGTTTACATTAAAAAAAAAAAAAAGAAGAAGAAGAGACCAGTAACATGTTTGGGACTTAAGAAAAGCCAATGGAAAGAGGGAAAACAGATCTAAGAGAAGATTTTCTGAATTATTGATAATTACTGAGAAGCTTGAGAGAAGGCATTTCAGTGTTTCAGTTTTTTAAAATGCAGGATGAATAGGCAGAAAATATGATATGGAACAGAAGGAGACATTTTAGAGACAAGAGACTAGTAGCAATAAATTAAAAATGATATGAAACATGGAGCTTATCAAGGGAAGGACTGCAGTGAAAGTGTTTTCAAAAGACAAATATTAAGATTAAGCATTACTGAAGGAAAAGTAGAGATCAAACACTTAGGAAAAAAATAATCTTGCATACAAAAACAAATCTAGATCAAAATATATGAAGAGGTGAGGAATGAAACCCTAACAAATTATCTCACAAAAGACTAAGTCCTAGGGTATTGGTTTGAAACAGAAAAACAGAAGTGAATTTAGATATGACCTTCTGTCTTGCCAAGCTAAGTTTCTGCACCCAATTAGTTAACTTTAAAGTTATGACAGGATTGGACATAGATTCTTAAATAAGAGATCATAAAAAGAGAGAGAGAGAGAGAGAGAGAGAGAGAGAGAGAGAGAGATATCACACAATGTTTCTTCATCAACATGCCCCTATGCCCCAATGGCACTAACAAACTAATGCTGACTGTTAACCTCATATATCAGATTACAAAACCTAACTACAGAATCAGACTTCATCTTATATAAAAGTGCAGTTTTACTTTATTGGACACCATAACAATTGACCATCTACCCAGAGTTTCTGATCATGGCACTAAAAATGCCAGCCTAATCCTTCACAGGGTACCTGGGATACTCCTTTGGCTCGAGCAGGGAAGCTCTATATTCACCAGCAGAAACACTAGCTTTGACTAAAGAATGGCTGCACAGGGAAGGACCACAGTGTCCTCATCTAAACCAACATCACATTACTGATATCAATAGTGCTGGTGACAATAATAACAGCTAGTGTTTATCAAGTATCTGCTGTGTGCCAGGCATTTTACAGGCAGTTAATCAACATCATCTCTGTCACAACCAATTGCAAGATGGAGTATTATCAAAATGAAACAACAACAGCCCAGAAAGGTTAAGTTACTTGCCCAAGACTACACAGGTTAAGAAGCTGCAGAGTCAGAATTCAAACCAGGTCTGCTAGTCCCAGAAAATGATGATGTTTCCCCTTGGCCAAGCGACCTTGTGAAAAGACACCCAAAATGAGTCTACATCATATCAGAAGCAAAGGGTTGGTAGGAAAGACTTTGATAAGATATACAATATACCTTATTGTAAGTTACAAATAAAGGCTAAAATGAACTGCTGTGTGGGAAAAGAAAGGAGAGTCCATAATTCACACTTCACAACAAAATATATTCTGGATGATTAGAATTAAAGATTAAAAAAAAAGAAAAAAAAGAAAACCAGAAGGACTTATGAGAATCTTAAATAAGCAAACAAACAAATAAAAAGCAACAATCTCAGAGTGGGGGAAACTTTCTGAAGTATGGCATGAAACCCAGAAAGAACCACACAACAAAACAATCATTAACAAATACAAGGAAAGTGATGAATGTGGAAAAAATATGTGCAACTCATAAAGACAAAGGGCTAATTCTTCTAATCTACAAAAAGCAATCCATAGAAAGAATAATGGACATATAAAAACAAACTGAAAAATAAGCAAAGCCCATGAAGTGGTTGTTTACAAGGTGGGAAATCCAATGGCTCTCAAACAAGAGAAAAGATGCTCAACCTCACTCATGGGAAGAGATGGACAAAATAATACTCAGAGATCGTTTCTTATCTACCTCATTGACAAAGGGAAACATTTAATGACTGAGATGGTGAGGATATGAAGAAATGGGTAAATATGCACCCTTATAGGTTGCTGGCTGTAGTATAAATTTAAACCTCTTTTATGGAGGGCAATTAGGCAATATATTACATTTATAAACTCATATACCCTATGACTAAGCAATTTCACTTCTGGGAATTTATCCTTCAGATATATGTACAAATTACATATGTATCAGCTTGTTCTCTATGAAACCGTATATATTCACAAAAGATGGAAAATAAGCTGAATGCTCGCCAAAAGAACATTGATTAAATTGAGGCTTAGTCTCATGGTGGAAAACTAGGYGGACTGAAATTAAGAGTGAAGACCATATTTTGGGAATTAACCATTTCAGAATAATTTCAAAGATATCATGAAATTTTAAAAATACTGCAGAAAAGTGGGTATAACAAGCAACTATTTGTGCATATGAGGGCACATATATAGGGAATATAAATTACGACCTGTGCTTACAGCTGCATAGACTATCTCTGGAAATCCACCCAAGAAATGGTGACACTGATTTTTCTACAGAGAGGAGAAATAAGAAGAAATAAGGATATAAAACTAATAAAATTGCCATTTTGTAAATCTTGAGCAATTTTAGAAAGAATCAGGTAGTCTAGTTTCAGGTAGAAAAAAGGGTGATGAATCAACTAGCAAGTCTGGAAAGTTGACAGTTTCATATTTATCTAATCAGAAAAAAAAAAAAGCATCAAAGATGGACAATGAGGCTTTTAGATAAACTGAAAACACACAGTACAGGAAAATAAAACTTCTGCAAAGATTAAGTGGTGAGTTTCCGGAAGAAACTTGAGTCCGATCTGATTAGAGGACCCGCCTTCACACCCTTGTGAGTTTCCTGAGTCCAGAGAGGGTGCATCTGTGGCAGTCAGCACAGCCCTTATAAGTGGTGGGGGKCACAAAATGAAGCCAAATGCATGATGAGGCTGCCCAACACCCCTGCTGGCCTCATGGCAATCTGAGACTTCGTGGCCCTTCTGTAAGGCCTGGTATGAGACCATCTTCTCTAAACTCCAAATAACCCTGAGATGTAACTGTACACCAAAGTATACAGAAATTTTCCATGGTTAATCATAAAAAGGATCTTGGCCATAAAGGCCATATAGTGACCCTAGAAACCCCACACTTGGGGACAAGAACCAGTATTTATGGATATCCRCCATATTCTGTGCCCCACTGAGCATGCTAACTGCTTTGCGTGTGAGTTCACTCAATCTTCAGAGCACCCTAAGGGGAGAAATGATCAGACTCTGCATTTTATGATGAGGTCTGGCTTCAAAGTACAAGTAGGAAGTCTTGGTATGGTGACAAGGAATATATGCAAGGGCAAGAATGCCAGCTGTGTGTCCTTGGGCAGATTACTTAATCTCTCTGTGCCTGTTTCCTCCACAGTTAATAGARGGCTGGTAATAGTCCTACCTCACAGGGTSATTGTGAGGATTATCACTTAACACAGGTACTTAGAACAGTGCCTCAAACAGAAGAAGTGTCCTTTATTACTAGTTCACAATATCTGAATATTCTTTGTTTATGGCCACTCATTCCTTCACCTAGTTAGTGTCTATTACTGGGTAGGGACTACATTGGGGGCTGGGATGATCAAACATGACCTTATTCTTAAGAAGATCACAATTTTAAAAAAAGACATATTAGGATGGTCTTTCTATAAAGGAAATGTTTTTATAAGAACTGAAACCTAACAGAAACAAACTAAAGCCCTGCTTKGGATGTTGGCATATGCCTGGCCCTTCTCACGTAGGCTTTGTGAGCAGGCAATGTAGTTTACACATCCCAGGGGAGATGATAAATTGTGGCCCCCATCTTGACTGCTCCTGGCCTCAGGATGACCCCTCCCCCACACGCTTTGCTTTATAGCAACAAGAAGGAGACTTTCAGTCCCCAATTGGGGTACTGTGCCCACTCCCTAATTTCTATTCTGAGTCTGCTGCAGCTACTAATAAGACAGCTCTGCCTGTAGCCTCTGAGCTTCCCAGAGAATTTCCCTTTGAGCTGGGATTTTCTTTACCTGCCCCACAGTTCCAAAGAGAAAGAGAGAGCCAGGAATACCTTTGAAGGATGAAGAAAATGAAGCTTCTGGCTTCACAGCCAATACAG